AAAATGATGGGCTTCGTTGCTTGTTTCTTTTTGATTGGGGGGGGTGTTTTTGTCGGTTTTTGGTGGTTTTTTGATGAAAAATGGCAGCCCCCAGGGCGTCCCCTTCTGTTTCCTCTTTTGACTGTGAGCACAATGCGCTCGAAGTCACAGTGTTACGCGTGTTGCATCGTTCCTTGCCAAGCCCTCACGCACACGCTCATGACTAAGAAGCTCAGTGGCATCGGCATAAAGGAATAGATCCATAGCCTTGAAGCCTTCGATGAGGTCGAGTGTACCCGGCCGGCCTTGCAGGAGGAATCTGGCCTCGATACGCTCGAGCCTCATAACATTGTACCAAGTTGCGTCCTGAAGCGAAGGGGAAGGGACGATTGTTGGAAACCACAGGGAAAGTAGAAGCAAGCACAACAACTCCTAGTTGCCCAGCCACAAACACAACTGCCTGACCCGTCCTCAAGCAAAAAGTACATCATCCAGCTTGGGTTGGGCTCTAACGTCTCGTCCTTTATCCAAGCTGATATGGGAGACTCCACCTCATCACACTTGTAAGTACCTGTGCAGCACTTTGCAGTGTCAAAGTTGCGCCGCCGAGCAAACTCATCCGTGCTGATGTACTGGATCTCAAACTCAAGCCTGGAAAAGAACCAGCCCATGAAAAACACATTCTCTGCCTCAAGGCGCATGAAGAGGAATTGAAAGGCGTTGAGCAAAGCCTCCGGGGTCAGCGCCAGGTTGTTGAAGCCAACTCCAAAGCCCAAGCGGGCTTTGGGCGCGGTAGCTTGATGACTTTCTTGATCTGATCCAACAGGCCAAGGTCGATCTCAAGAAAAAGGCTGAAGAAGAATCCGGAGGGCCTGCAGTCCGGCTCTGCTGACTTGAGGCGGAGAGCCCCAATGGCAGCTCCTAGGTCGATGTTGATCACGTTCATCTTTGACACAAAGATTCTCTCAAAGCCCACTTGCACCACCTGCTCACCGGAAGATTCCTTGTCCACGAAGACAACTCCCTGCATACTCAGAACTCCCTTCGCCTTCTTGGTGTACTTTTCGGCCTTGGAGTTTGCGTCAGTCACCTGCTTTTCCGTGCAACCAAGGTTTTGCGGCTGCAGCTTTGCAGCATTTGAAACGCCCTGAACGCCAAAGTTCAACTGGAAAGCCATCCACGCATCGCCTTTGGGATCCAAGTTCTGCCGAGTAACGCCATCATACAAAGGCAGTCTGCTGCCATTGCCAATCTTCAGCCTCTCCTGGCAAAGCGCAAGCTTGCAAGAAACGCGCAGAAGCACATGACTACCAACCATGTATCCCCTAACAGGCATTCTGACGACTGGAGAAAACACGGAAGCGCTAAATGTAAAAGAACGAATCCGTGCGTCAAAGACCTGTCCTGGAAGCTCCATTCAAGGTAGTCATCTGCTGTGGTAAGTGCGAGGCCCCTGAAGTAGAGCTGAACTGGACATGCAGGAACCCCCTTCGTCTTGAGAGAAATGCAATTGCAAGCGTTGTAGAGCCATGTTGGCGGGAACCCCTCCGACTCCACATAGCCGTACATTTTCTCGTTGTTGACGAAGCATTCGCCACGCGCTGGTACGTCTCCCAAGAGTCCAAGAGGAACCTCAAGTTTCACGCCTTGTTGCTTTGCATTCGACTCGAGCACGCTGTCTTGTGACTCGTTTCGGGAATCCCCAGCAATGCTACAGCCCAGACGTGAGGCCGACTGTCACTGACAAAGCACCCAAACCTGCACTCCCTGAACAAAATCTTTGCCCAGCGGTTGTCTAACACAGCTGCCAATTGCTGCCAGCTTGCGAAACGTAATCATCCACAGTGTCTCTTGATTCGTCAATGAGATTTATTGTCTCTTTTGCCGACTCACGCACAGTATCGACAAAAGGGAAGAGCTGTCCGAGCTCACTCTGCTTGACGGGCTTCTGCTGGCTGACATGGTAGCCTGGCTGGCAAAGGGCTGGAAAGGAAGTCGTGAGGGAAAGTTTGTTAAACAAACCAATCCTTGTCTCCAAAATATAAGATGTCGAGAAGCAAGTGTTGTTGCTCAACGGAAGGCGTTCGCAGATTGTCCTTTCCCTGCTGCCATCACCTGTCTCGCGGATGTCCTGTCCCAATCGCTTTGTCAAGGCAAAGTCCGCAAGGGCACCCTCCAACAAGCCCCGCCCGAAGGGTGTGTCCCATCCCAGCGCATCTTCGAACACGTTGGGATCGATGGTGGTGTCCGTGTCCGCAGAGTCGCACTGGTCTACATTGGTGCTCCTGCGTAGCTGGAGGAGGCTTTCGTGTCGCAGGACGAGTTGGAAAGCTTCGCCCAAACCATGGAGATCACCAGGCATGCTCGGAGCATCTCGGAGGGTCACAACAGCGTCAAGAGAATGGGTAGGCTGGATAGGTCGAATGCTTAAAGGAGTACAACCACAATGGCTGCAGCACACAGGGCCATACACCAAATGACAAGCACTTGATGGCAAAACTGCATGAAGCACACGGTGTCTTGCGAGCGCCCGCCCGGCACGTAGACGTATTTGAGGTCGGTTTTGAGTTTTGGGACGGCTGGCACGCATGACCTTCCTTAGGGTGCTGGGTTGGTTTAGGGGTGTGTCTGGCTGGGGTGGTTCAGGTTAATCAGCACGGTCAGTTGCCCATGGCTTCTCCTCTTCGGGCTCAGCAAAGAAGGCTTAAGGGACGGGAAGCAGAGGGGCAATCGGCAGATATCACCCGCTCGCTGCTACACCATTCATTGAAGAAGGATCGTGCACTGCACATTCATCGAGTTCCCTACCAGTGCTCTGCCTATGCGTATCTCAAGCCATCCCTTCTGTTGCGAATGCATCTCATGTTGACAAACACCCCCAAGCCACAAAATGGCGAAACAAGCCAGGCTCGGACTGTCCTAGACACACCACGCCTTGACAAATCGCGCACATGACAAGCGAGAGCCCAAGCGCGTGGTATCTGCGCTTGCTCTTTGCACGCGCGGGCGGCTTCGTTGCTTGCCACCTCATTGTGCGGAAGGCTGCAAAGAGGTCATGAAGAAAGGCGGGCCGCATAGGTTACTGCTGAACCTTCGGAATTAGGATCGCTTGAAAGGCTTCACGGCTGGAGCTCAGTAAACCTGCAGCAGGGCTGAGCAAAGGTCATTTCCTACCCTGCAAGCCTGTTCACTCACCTTGTGCATTCTACTCCTCGGAAAAGACTTCACACTTTAAGTTGTATGTCAAGTAATCAGCGAGTAATAGTTTGAAAATGGCTGATGATTGGAGCCTGCGCATGCGAGAATGTAACTCCGAACAGGCAGATTCGCAATAAGTTGCTGCCTTTATGAAGTCTTTTGAAGCGTCTAGCGATCTATATCCGCAGGACAAAAAGCCGGCACACGAATTCACAAGCAGGCAGGCAAGCAGGCAGGCAAGCAGGCAGGCAAGAAGGCAGGCAAGCAGGCAAGCAGGCAGGCAAGCAAGAAGGCAGGCAAGCAGGCAGGCAAGAAGGCAGGCAAGAAGGCAGGCAAGCAGGCAGGCAAGCAGGCAGGCAGAAGACTCAGACTGATAAACCGCTAGCCAAATAGGGATAGGGGCAAACAGCAAACGAACCAGCACACATGCAACCCTGCTCGCGCGCTTGCACTCACATCAAGAGCAAACAAACAAAGAATAGAAACAAGCAGCAAAACGAAGCGAAACCAGCAATTGTGCAGAACGAACAAAGCAAGCAAAGGACAAACTACGGCAAGAAAGTGACAAGCAAGAAATTCACAACACGCCCAATACAAACGAACAAGCTAGCAAACAAACAAACAAACAAACAAACAAACAAACAAACAAAAGCGAAACAACCACAACCAAGCAACCTAGCAAGCAACCAACAGGCCAAGCATCTAAGAATCCAAGCATCCAGGCATCCAAGCCGCCAAGCAGCCAAGGAACCAAGCAACCAAGCATCCAAGCGCCAAGCATCCAAGCATCCAAACAGCCAAGCAGCCAAGCATCCAAGCAGCCAAGCAGCCAAGCAGCCAAGCAGCCAAGCAGCCAAGCAGCCAAGGAACCAAGCAACCAAGCAGCCAAGCAACCAAGCAACCAAGCATCCCGCCAACCAACACTGGCTGTAGTTCAACAAGGAAATGCACGGAAACTACTTGCCATTGCTACTTTCATGGAGAACGTGCCACACTAGAAGCGCACATGTCTTCGTTTCAAGCCAAATTCTCAAGCGGTGTGTACATCACCCGCAACGCACAAGGGAATGAGTTTTAGTGAGGGACCCTTTGGTAAACATCATTCAGGCGGAGATTCATGTCCTCCTTGAAAGCCATGGCCCAATTCTAACATCGAAAATCAACACGGAGGCGGCTGAATTTGCTAGAAAACGCACCCGAAAAGTGCATGACGAATCTCAACCCAAGCAGATTGCGTCGAGCAAAAAGAAGAAAAAAAACATAGCATCACACCCATAAATCATTACAATCATCACAAGCATAATCCTTTAGACTGCGCTGCCCCTTACAAAATGTCCGGAGACACTACGGAGGCCAGCATCCTGTCAGCGTCCGAGCCTATGTGGCAAGTTGGACAAATTGCAACACTTGTGCCCCAAATTGGTTCACGCGCACATCGGTCCACATGGGCCGAAGCAGGCTGACACGAAGCCGTCTCTTTGGTGGCTTGCAGTGGAAAACTTTTCAGAGTTGATCTTGCTCAAAGGGCTTTGCCATCCGTGTCTGGCACAGTTTGTTGATTTCACAACAGCAACATGCGCGCGCCCCCTTTTTTTCCACTACATATTGAGCCTTCTGTAATCATGACGCGAGCTCCTGCAACGACTGTTTAAGCTAGAAAACGGCGCAGGCAGCTGGCCAGCTGACCATTACCAACTTCCGAATGTGCAAACCACACCGTTTCGTTTCGGGCGTCAAATTGTTGGTAGAAATATGTGCGAATTTGGCAAGCAAGACTCTCCATGGTGCCCGAACTGTCCAAGCCAATGCGCACCAAGCATATGGAGCATTCAACATGGTTCGCAAGCATTCAAGTCAAAGTGGCCAGTGCCGCGATGTTGAGTTGAAGAAGAGGAATATAGGGAACTCCGCGAGTCCACCGAGAATATACATAGGGGGCGGCCACATATAGCCGGAAAATGCCGAAAATCCTGAAGCAAGCCCGCGATTTCGCGGTCGGGTCACATTAACCAGTTCGGAGGTGGCTCAGAAGCGCCGCACCACAGCTGGCAGCAGCATGCAAAGCCAGAGAACCACCACCACCGTCAGCACCTCGCACTTCTGCCCTCCCGGACTTCGCCTCAAAAACTGAGGGCGTGACGCAGGAACAGCCATAGAAGCAGGAAAGGAAAGGATCCTGCCAGGGTCGGCCGGAAAGTTGCAAGAGCCACTTGACAGATCGCACTCCTCGTACCACTTGAGAGCTTGAAGCCTGTCTTTCTCCTGAGGTGCTCCAATCTGAAACCGGATTGCGAAACGCCAACGTAAGAGCACTTGGCCGGACGTCGTTCCTCGTCGTCACTCTCGAAGACATGGCGGAAGCAGATCTTCCCCAAGTCACGGGCTGCCTGGCAGCTCGATGCCGAAGCATGGCAAATGCAAGCTGCCATATACATGGACCATACAACCAAAATCCACCCACTGCCAACCCTGTCAAAAGCGCCTCCGCGGACATGGAGACCCGGCACCCGAGCACCTTCCTCATCCGTGTCCCTGCATCAAAGACCTCAAGATGAGCCAACGGCTCTCAGCGCCGCTAGATGCGGGTTGCCGAGGCGCCGCGTGAACTTGGAAGTTTGCCTCCACAGCGGGCTTCTGCAAGTAGCTCCGCCACTTCTCCTATGTCATGCAAAAGCCAAAACAAGAACATGGCGCGGTCGTAGCCATCGGGCATCGCTGTCCTCCTTGGCATCGCCCTCCTCGGCCGCACTGGCCTTGCGCCGCCGGAGCGCTGACTCCTGGCCTTCGCTCGCCAGAGACGCGGCCCTCAGCTTGGCGCTGAGCCCCGGGCGCTGCTTCAGGTGCCGGCGAAACTCTGCGCGCCTCTCGTCCTATCGCTTCGATCGGACCGAAACCGAGAGCCCGTTGCAGACAAGCGAAGGCGCCTGCAGTCTGTCTTCGACCACCCTCTGCAAAACTTCTGCCAGCTGATCGCCATCGTTGGCGCCGGCGAACAGAAATCTGACAAATGGAAGACCAAGCAAGACACGGAAGAGTGCATGGGACTAGCGAAGCGCCAGTCTGGGAACTCTCACCATCTAGCTGCTTTGCTGAACTTAGGCCAAGGGTCTCTAAAGGGACCGAGTCATCATCCGCGACCTGCGCATTCAACGCTCGTGCTCCAAACTGTCCGACTCACATGCTGTACATGCCTCCTCCCACAAAGCCACATCAGCAGGTTCCAGCAACTGGTCGCCCAACTGGACGGCCAGGCTGTGCCTGTCACAGCCCCGAGCGCTTTGCGGATCATGCGCTTGCCGCGCGCCTGGCCGAATCTGACATTGGATAGCCTCGGGCCTGGTCAGTCAATCAGAGTATCAAGATGTATCACGCCGGCAAAATGCGCCTTTCTCCAGAGTGCGCGAACCCCATGAGGTGACACATCCATGCTTTCTGAGTGCATCCCTTTCGTGGTTGATGCGATCTCCCATGCTTGAGAGCCGATTCCACTACACAAGCAAACCCTGGTTTTTGTTTCAAATCTAGGTTGACCCCCCAAACCAACAGTAGACTGCTCTGACTACTCATAATATGTTCATCACTCATGTGGCTCGTGTGGTTCTCAACGCCTGACACTCGGCTGAAGGACTGTGCATGACAGCGCTATTGGCTTGGCGGAGGCGAGCTCGCGCATTTACCACAGTGAAAAAACGACAAAGCCGGCACTCCACCTTGGGGCCAGGTCACACCGCTTTCCGTCTTCCAGTGCACGTGAGAAGGGTCACAGGGCGCCCTTGATGAGCTGCTTTGCAGCATGCTAAAACGCAACGAGGCGGTTTCCTACAGGTCCGAAACTTTCCGTCAGACCTCACGCTCTTCAAGAGCCATGGGCCATGCACTAATTCACTTGCTTCTTTGCTGGCTCCGAAGCCTCTGGAGCTGTCGACATCGCAATCTCCTCAGCTGGCAAGCAGCGCCAAGGTCTGGCTTCAACTGCCTTGCTTTGCCTTGTCTTCCCTGTTCTGCTTCCACTGGTCTCTCTCCACATCCGCGCACTAGGGCCCCAGCAGCACCACAAACAACCGCAGCACTCTTGCTGCGTGGGATACCAAATGTAATTGTAGCCTGAGTCGCATCACGTTGCAAGCACAAGCTGACTATGTACAAAAAAATAAGGACCGAGCGTGCGTCCTTCTCTTGCAAAAGGTCAACTGTGGTTGCATATCGATTCTTGTCCGCATCCCTCTCGAAGATAGTGACGCTCCTTAATATCGAGCAAAAACATACAAACCGGCATCATCGGAAAACACGGTTGCCCCCTAATCACTCCCTGCACCCTACCTCGATGCCGCTGCGACTCTTCACATATGTCTTTGGTCGAGAAGTGCAAGTAAAGCATGATTGGTCATGCCCTTTCAGCGAGTGCTCCTTGGGTCGCTGGTGCATGGCTCAGCCCGATGCCCATAAACCCGAGCCTGGAAGGCTTTTGGCACATAGTGGCCAATGTCCTTCGCGGTGTCCTTGGCATGCACTCGCGAACCTCGCAAAGCCGAAGCAAGCCGAAGCAAGCGCTGCCACGGCACAGACAATGGCTCAGACTGGGAGGCCCCCATGACACCGTCGCACACTACCCCACACTGCCGCACTGCTCCAGAACAGCTGCAAGTCGGCGAGCAACACCGCGTTCTGTAGCTGACTCGAGATTCGAGTTGGAAACATGAAAGAGGCGCGCGTGTTTTCCTTGAGGGTGGATGCGGCAATGGGTTTTGGCGGTTGATGGGCTGGTTCAAAGGTGGGCTTAGGGGTGGCTTGGTTGGTTTCGGCTGGGTTTGTGGTTGGCCCAGGGTGGTAGCTAGCCAGGGCTCTTTGGCATTTCTTTCGGATTTGAATTAGGGTGGGTTTCGGACTGTCATTTGCTGCTGGTTAAGGTATGTTTGCCACAAGCTGTTGGATGGACAAGTGTTGATTTGTAGACGGGTTGGTCATGGGTTTCGAGTCTGCATGGGCGGGGTAAGGATGTGGTTGGTTTTAGGATGGGATGAGGGTTGGTGTAAGGCGGGTTTGGGGATTGCTTTGGGGCTGAGTTCAGGGCTAGAGCCTTAGCTATTTAAGGCAAGTCTAGGGTTGGGTTGAGTTCGTTTAGGGTGGATCCAGGAATTGGTTTGGGTGGGTTGCTTCAAGCTTGTGCTTTCTGCGGAAAACAAACTTCGGACAAACCGTACCAAATTGACACTTGATTCCAACTGCTTGGACTCTCATGTGCCTTCTCTGCATTCCAGCTGGCAAATGCATGTCGCAACTTGTTTCTCGGCTCGCTGCATCTGGCGACTCTGTGAAACCCGCTCATTCTCCACAGAAGGGGCCAATCGCCAGGCAGTTCTTGCCAGAGACGCCACACTGCAGGTGGCGCCCAGCTGAGTCGGTGTAGCTCTTGGGGCACTTGTCCAGGTCCGTGACCTCGTCACAACCAAAAGAGGTGGACACCTTGAAGCCCGCGCAGAAGGGCAGTCCGTCCGCGGTGGTGGCTGGGGACACGATGACAACGCCGCCACTGCCCTCTCCGCCGGCCCCGCCACTGCTGCCGTTCGTGGACCCTCCGCCCCCTCCGGCCCCTTTGCCAGCGGCGCCCTTCTTCCCAGGGTTCTTGCCTCCGGCAGCGCCTGGCAACAAACAAAGTGCACGCTGACTCATGATCCATGTCGCACATGCACTGCGCGACTCGCTTCTCGCTTGCCTGGAAGACAGAACATGTGGACGTGAGCTCTCCAACGCTTCAGTGAAATGCTGCGCTCAACATTGGATTCCATGTCGTGGTTCAACCACAGAAGTCCCATCCCTTAAATTGGCTCTCGCACACATGTCCCACCTGCAGCACCACCGCCACCTTCGCCACCCTCACCGCCCGAGCTGCACCCGGGATCGTGGGAGCCACCTCCACCGCCTGCGCCGTAGTACTCGCAGTTCCCGGAGATGCAGCTCTTGTGGCCAGGCCCGCCGTTGCCACAGGTACTGTCAGTACCTGAGACCCCCAGCCCGCCAGCGCCACCTCCGCCGCCGGCGTTCCAAGTGCCGGAGGTGCCGGAGCCCCCGGCGAAGCCGAAGCCGAACTTGCCGGAGTCGCCCTCCTGCGACGACTGTGTCGCGCCACCGCCGTCTTTGCCGTACCTGGCCGAATTCGGACAAGGGAGCCTCGAGGGCCAAGGCATTGACAAAAGGATACAAATTCGGCTACAAAGCTCAAGGCACTAATCAAATAACAAATTATCGGCACTGCTGGTAGCTTGCGGCAATCTGTGGCATGCAGCTGTTAAACAGTGGGCGGGAAACGGAAATGCAATTGATGTTGTGCATCAAGATGGACAAGGGGAAGCCGGAACGGCCATTGCCTATACCGCCGAAAAACTTGGCAAATGCAAGGGCCCTCGGCCTGCCGCCACCGCCACTGCCACCGGCGCTGCCGGCATCACTGCCATCGCTGCCACCCCCACCGCCTCCCTTGGCCAAGAGTTCGCCGAACTTGGAGTCCTGGCCGTTGGTGCCCTTGGCGCCGCCGCCACCGCCTCCAGCTCCACCCCCGCCCACTACGACCTCGTAGCTGGTGCCTTCGGTGACCTGCACGCAGTCCACTTCCACCACGCCGCCCCCTGCGCCACCGCCGCCGGAGCGGCCACCGCCACCTCCGCCTCCAGCCACCACAAGGACCTTGGCACATCCACTGAAGGTGGATACCCAGGTTGTACTCTCAAGGAAGGTGGACGTGGGGGGACCTCTTTGCTGCTTCTTTATGATCACGATGCCAGAACCACCAGCGCCTCCACCACCTCCGCTGGAAGAAGTTGTGGACCCACCACCTCCACCGCCACCCATGCCGTTCCTCCCGGCCGCACCTGGGTTTCTTCCCCCTGGCGTGCCGCAGGCACCACCGCCACCGGATCCGCCCTCACCACCAGAGCTGCAGGCCGGGTTGTGTGAACCACCGCCGCCACCGCCAGCATACAAAGCGCATGTGCCTGTAATGCACACCTCCTTGCCAGGCCCGCCGTTGCCACAGGTGCTGTCAGTACCTGAGACTCCCACGCCGCCAGCGCCACCTCCGCCGCCGGCGTTCCAAGTGCCAGAGGTACCGGAGCCCCCGGCGAAGCCGAAGCCGAACTTGCCGGAGTCGCCCCCCTGCGACGACTGGGTCGCGCCCCCACCATCAGCACCATACCGGCCGCCGCCGCCGCATCCACCGGAAGTGCCACCGTTGCCCCCGTCGCTGCCACCTCCACCACCTCCCTTGGCCACCAGCTCGCCGAACTTGGAGTCGCTGCCAGTTTTGCCAACTTGACCCGTTCCAACTCCGCCCGCACCGCCTGCACCCACGTTCACGGTGTACTCTTGGCCCTTGGTCACTGCGTAGCAGGGCACATGAATCATGCCGCCCCCAGCACCACCACCTCCTGAGCGGCCGCCGCCGCCTCCACCGCCGCCAACCACCAGGACCTCCACACAGCCGGTGAAATCAGCCGTCCACTTGCCATCTTCCGTGAATTGAATCACATCGTTTTTGGAGACACTGGCATTGGCGAAGACGCTGCCGTTAGAGGCAGTCCAGAATTTGGCAGCAGCTGCCCACTGGGCAAGCCCGCAAATCAGCAGGCTCTGTAGCTTCATTTATTGCTGACCAGATTTGAGTCTAAACCAACTTGAGTCTGGAGCCAGCCAGCAAACACAACAAGTAAATAGAACGTGCTGTAACACGATCAGCAACAAAGCAAAGTTGACGGGCTCTTGATCCAACACAACGCAATACTATACAGAACTTTGTGACAACACGTTGAGGAATGGTGTTGTTCTACATGGTTGGCAAAATGCAACGATATCATGAACACACCCTGATACTGACGCCACGCAGCTCGATCATCGGTGCGTCAAGACTGATCTTGCCGTTGGCGCACAAGAACACATGTTTGCACATTGCACGTCCTTAATCAAATTGGCACACATGCATCCGCACAGTCCACAGCACAACATTGGAGTTAGAATCTTGACCACTGCTTCAAGCCGAAAAGGAACATGCATTAAAAGACAAAAGAGCACGACCGACAAAAGGTGCGCTCCGCTCTTTTTCTTTATGAAAAACAACGCGTGTCCTTTCCCTGCGCCAGCACCCCCATGCGGAGCCCGCTCAAATGCCCCCGTGGTCAACAAAGGACCAGACGCCAGGTGTTTTACCTGTGAGGCGTGAAACAATCGAAGGCATTGGTTGCAGCAGGATGCAATGCGTGCATCCAGCTGGTGTGCTGTGCAGCGCGGCACACGGTGCAGGGTTTAAACCTGTCAAAGCGGTCACTGCATGCAAGGGCATGCTGTGCAATTTTTTGCCAGAGCACTGCAAGGCTCCTAACTGTTGGGTTCCAGCTCGCCGGCCTGGTACTTAGAGGATCCACCTGAGCAATGAAAGGGTGGGTGGGTGGGCGTGTCGTGCTAGACTGCCCATGGCCATGGACACTGTTCGGACCCCCGACGAGCAGGGCTCGTCAACACTCGTGATAGCCTGAGCCGTCGCAACTGGCTGTTGAGACAGAGCTTGTGGCGCAAAGAGCAAATCCGGCGTCGCAAAACGCTCGCTTCGCTCGCCTTGGTCTAGCACCATGGTCTTCGGCTTGCGAGCCTTCACAAGCATGCATCGAGTCCCCCACGGAAACGTCCAACGCACGCACAAATGCAAGAAAAAATCCAGGACTGCGGCGCGCACGCCGATGTCGGAATACTAGTCCCGATTTTTGCCAATGTGATGCGTACGCCGTCGTGCGTAACGCAGTCCTGTACAGCCCGCTGGGAAGCAAATGCTGCAACGGAGGGCGTGGCGCTAGGCCTGCTAGGCTGATTAGTATGCCTTGTCGCGCGCATCCGCCACGCAGCCGCTGCAGCGGTGGCGATCACGCATGTCGTTTGCGCCATCAACATACTGCCCGCATACAGCCGAGTAAGGGCAATCCGGGTTGGCGCGCGGCAGTGCGCAGCTGGCCTGGCGGTTGTCGTCGTAGTAGCGCATGCGGAGGTTTCTCCCATCATTCTGCATGTGCCTCATCGTGCGAGGCAGGCGGACGGATGGGAGGCGGATGCGTGCGGCCAGCTGTGAAACGAAGGTGGCCCGCTGCTGGCGTTGTGGCACTTCTGGCAAGGGCGTCGGCCGCAAGCCTGGGCCAGGGTGAATGCGGCTATAGGCAGGCGTGGTGGTGTCCCAACGCATTGCCACATCTGAAACCCCGCCCCACTGCCAGTAGCATGCCCAGTAGGACCCGTCATGCGGCCACGGGAACCCGTGCGTTGGGGGTTGTTTTCATGCGGAGGCCAGTGGCGCGGCGCATGCGAGGGCATGCAGGGCAGGAACTTGGGTTCTGCAGGCGGTGCCTTGTGCGCCAGTGGTTGCGGGGGATCCAGATCCTGGCCTGATGGTGCACGCGTGTCTTCCGGTGTCGGAAGCACGGTGCGGCGTAGTGAATGCGATCGCTCCACGGGTGATGCGGCTGGTGGTCCCGCGCATGCGTGGGGCCCTGATGAGCGGGGGTTCTGATGCATGCTGAGTGGCCTCTGTTTCCACCTCCTCGATCGTGGGTGTTGCGTCTTCCGGCAAGGCAGGCGGTTCCGGTTTCAAGAACTGTGCGGGGGGCGCCTTGCTCTGGCCGGCACGTTGGTGAAGCATGCGGATGCTGGTTCTGGCGCAGGTGCGGAATCCATCCCCAGCAAGTCGGCATGCGGCGCGGCTTGCGGCGCGGCCTGCTCGTTGATGTTGAGTGCGGGTGCTGGTGTCGATGCTGATGCTGGCGAGGAGTTTTGTGTCGTCAGGGCGTTGATCACCTCACGCAAGACTGCTGGGTTCTCCCGATTCTCTTCGAGGAGTTTTTGCAAGCTGGCGTCCATTGCGGAGGACGTGCGGAAATTGCTGCTGTATAGCACAAATGGCTGGGGACAGGCCAGGCAATGTCGATCTGAAGCGCCCACAGAAACGTAAGGATGCAAAAGGCGATGCAAAGCAACGGAATTGCTTCCAGGCGCGGGCTCCAGAAATGAAGCCCGGAATGTGAGCTCAGGCGTGCGCGTCACGATGTCCGGGCACCTGAGTCAGTGTCAGGCGCGGGTAGGTGGGGTATGTCCCTGTTAAGGAGCAAGTTGGTCTTAGTTTCTCTTTTGTGATTCGTTCGTTCTCGAGCCACACCTATGAAGAATCAGTATTTGTTTCCTAAGAGCTACAACTGCAAGAGAAAGGGAAACCGAGCACATGATTTTGGAACCGGGTTCGAATCTCAGACAGATAGGTCACAAGGGCAACATGGAAAGTGTTGCGAATCAAGGCCATCGCTCGAAGCTCCTTTTTCGCGCTGACCTACCAAAAGCACGGGGAGTTGTCCTCTAATCAGACAGGGAGACACTGTCCTTCTCAAGCCCCTCCGAACAGGAGTCACATGAAAGCCCCAAAATCGTTGGGCACAAAAGATGTAAAAGGGGGGTCCACAGCAGGGGGCCCGTGTTTTGCATGAAGAACAAAATGGGGGGCAAGTGAAACGAGCGAAAGGTCACGAGGACCAGGGGTTGTGTATTCCTCTCGGTAATTCCAAGTAGAGGTCCCGCAGTACCTGGTTCCGCATGCGTTGGTGAGAACGGAAGTCTCACGAGGTACCTGACAGGCGGAGATGTCTGGCTGCTACGGACATGACGCAGAAAATGGGAAATGGGCACATCGCCAGAAATCGCCCAGTGCGCAGGAGTTCTGCTGAAGACAGGCGCCGGACTCTGCCGAAAAAGAGCCCGGTGACAAACATGCGGGGCGACCTGTGTCGGGCATCAGACCGAAACTCGAAAGACAAGAGCAGGAACCTGCAGAAAAAGGGCGGGATGGGTGGGTCAAAAATAAAATGTTTGTTGCACATGAAGGGGAAGCACATGTTGTGAGTGCTTCTCAAGTAATGCCGAGTGTGCTCGAGCCCAAACTAATCACAAACAACCGACTCAACGTCAAGCGAAATTAAAGGAGCGTCTTGCCAGGAGCATACCTTAATTTCTCTTTTGTGATTCGTTCTTGAGCCACACCTATGAAGAATCAGTATTTGTTTCCTAAGAGCTACAACTGCAAGAGAAAGGGAAACCGAGCACATGATTTTGGAACCGGGTTCGAATCTCAGACAGATAGGTCACAAGGGCAACATGGAAAGTGTTGCGAATCAAGGCCATCGCTCGAAGCTCCTTTTTCGCGCTGACCTACCAAAAGCACAGGGAGACACTGTCCTTCTCAAGCCCCTCCGAACAGGAGTCACATGAAAGCCCCAAAATTGTTGGGTACAAAAGATGTAAAAGGGGGGTCCACAGCAGGGGACCCGTGTTTTGCGTGAAGAACAAAATGGGGGCAAGTGAAACGAGCGAAAGGTAACGAGGACCAGGGGTTGTTTGTTCCCATTGTTACAAGAACCCCGGGGCCGAAGGTGTCTCCCCATCATCACTAGGAGGCCAGGGGTTCAGTGGAGTGAACCGCGTGCAAAAGTTCTGAGAGTGCGTCATCTGAAACGACAACTTGTGGACACTGGGTAGAGCTGGTGGAAAAATCCAGTCTACTGGGGGCATCGGCAGGGTTTGACTCGCTGCATTATCTGGAGAACCAAGGAGCAAATGCGGCTCGCGATTCAAATATCATAAAAGCATTCATGATTTCTTGCGCCTGCTTCTGGGCGCATGTAGCTTTGATAAGGCAATGACGTGCAGCTTCAGAATCCAAGTGGAAAAATACATTGCAGTCTTTCAAAGTGGATTCCCAAGCCAGAAGGGCGAACAAGACCGGGAGCAGCACGTTCACGGAGCATGAAATCATGAGCTGCTTGGATCTCCTGTGAAGACGTGGCCAATCTCAATGCTTTGAAGCAGGGTTCGAGCTGTGAAGAGGCACTCTCGGAGCTTGGCAAGTTTAGAACGTGTTCGCAAAGAGGCGTCATTGCCCATAAAGTAGATCATCGTGTTCCGAAGGTTCTCAACAGGACCGTGGGCTAGATTGATTCGCTGCTGAAACAATCTGTCAGCCTGAAGCTCGGTCGCCATTATGGAGGCAAAGTTTTGCCAATCCATGCTGTTAGATAAACTGAAGGCACAAAAAGCTGCGGGAAAGGTTCAGAACAGCGCAAGGGCAGAGGCAAAGAGCTAAGCTGGCTCCCGGCTAAGAGGGAGCGACATCCGCCCGGGCAAATCGCGCGCAAAGCGGAAATAGAAAATGAGAACCTGTCAAAAATAAAATGTTTGTTGCACATGAAGGGGAAGCACATGTTGTGAGTGCTTCTCAAGTAACGCCGAGTGTGCTCGAGCCCAAACAAATCACAAACAACCGATTCAACGTCAAGCGAAATTAAAGGAGCGTCTTGCCAGAAGCATACCCTCATGCGCAGCCGCTTTTTACTGACGAAATGCGACGCGTGCTGAAAAACATCAAGGCTCAGGGTTAGAGCTTTTTGCCTGGCTGTCCGGGCAATCCGGAACGATGCATACGTGCGCCAACTTGCATGCCTTGGATTGGCAGTTGTTGGCCTGGAATCTGAGGCAGTAGGGCGCGTTGCGGTGCGAGGCAGGCCTGGAGGGCTACCAGGCGCCGGCGTCCACTTGTCGGCAAGCTCTGCGAGTTCGTGACGCCTATCCGTCCAGTGCAGGAAATGTGCGCTGCGTGGCTGAGGAAGCAA